CGATGACCTTTAACCTGTCGTTGTTTTCACCTTTGTTTTGATTCTATCCCCCTTTTCGATCTGTTTCTTGATTCTATGTCACTGATGATATTTCTGATTGGTTGATAAATTGGGTCAATATCGATGTGTTTGTTGATTGCTGATTGACCTGAGTGCCAAGCTTCTGAAAATTCCCTAGTGTTCTTTGTGCTCCCTCTATCCAGTATTTCCACATTGTCCCAATCGAATGTACGTCCATAATTGTAGGTGTGCGTTGTTGTGGCGTTTGACAGCTAATTGGTATTCACGTAAACGAACCTGAAGAGGTCATCCACTTTGACTATTTCTCAATCGGTATAAACATTATTGTTTTAACTGAGTTTCTTATAATTTACTTCATAGATTTAACGGCATTCAATGAATAACAAACACCCTAAGGTGATGTTTATTTACGTCATAGATTTCATTGTCTCATTTTGTAGTTTACTTATATATTATGTAATTTGTTGAGACAGTCAAATTTAATTTAGATAACTAATCTAACATACCAGTAAACTCAATCAGTCGTGGACATCTCTTTCGTTGAACATGACATAACATAATAGTCCTTTAACTAGTTTACAAAGTTATAAACTATTCTAAGCACTTACTACAAGTAAGATATAATCACTTTACAGCCTGTATTAGTTTTTATCATTCATACTTACAATGTAATGCTATTTGGCAAACTCTCTCTCTCTCACACACACACACACTCTGGTACAAATAAAAAATACCATTTTTTTCTTTTTTTTGGTATCATCTAATTGATATGCATCTTTGATATTGATTTTTTTGTTCGTATTTTGCACTAACATTCTGATTGCAACACTTATTTTTTTTTTTTGGTTTTTTTTCTGCATAATTTCCTAATTAACATTAACTGCTTCACTATGTACAGATAAAGATATATAGATATATCTGTATATCATCCACATGAATGAGATAGAAAAACAATGTCAGATTATTTTGTTGTGTGAAACTATTGTTTTTCTAATTTTGTGCATTTGATGCTTTACTCAATCAGTTTCTTGTATCAATTTGTTTGTTTATAAGTTAGATTGGTGGTAAATATTTAATCAACAGAAGAAGAAAAGAAGCCAATCAATGTGAATGGATAAAATTAGTTGAAAACAACCTACATGATGGTGATCACTTTGGTGAACATGGATGTTTTTTGTAGTGATAATATGTGAATAGTGAAGTTGATGATGATGATGACTGAATGTTAACTATACAGTTATGTTCGTCACTAGGTACGCTTGAAGCTATTACGAGTTCACCGTAGTCGATAAACGCGAACGAGACAGTGAATCAGCGTCCAGGTAGGCCACCTTGAATCGCAAGCTGTAAAACAGAATTCAAGCACACAACTCTAGTTTATTTATACATCATGGGGACGTCCTTAGGAGAGTCACAAAAATAGCACACCAAAATACACAGCAGCCAATCACGGCCAAGGATTTTCCTGGTGGGAAATGAGATCTCAAGGTCAACTGATCAGCCCATGCTCGCAGACGTGAAGTACAAAATAAGGCATTTATCAAGCGAGTTCTGGGGATCTAACATCCCTTACAAAACCTGCATTATAGTGTTTTTTGTGACCGCTTACCTACAAGATCTTTCTTCAATCTTCAGGGCTAATATCTTGAAACTTCTACCTAGATATTAATAGAATGTAGTTTTTTGTGTTGGTAATGTACTGCGAAAACCTAATACACTTATTTCACCACTAAGCCATCTGTTATTGAAAGGTGTACCAAAGAACTACATTAACCTTATACGAGCTCTCTACTCTAAAACTACTGGTCGGGTGAGAGCTTATAGCGAACTGTCTTCGGAATTCTCTACTTCTAGTGGTGTCCGCCAGGCATATCCACTTTACCCATTCTCGTTTAATTTTGTCATAGACATACTCCTAGATATAACATTATCTTCGTCTGAATTTTCAGGAGTCGACTTTCTACCAGGAATTCGCTTATCTACTTAGAATATGCCGATGACATAGTTCTATTTGGTGAAGACGCTAACAAAATGCAGAGTCTTCTGACTACCCTAAGCAACAATGCACGCATGTACCGGATGCAGTTTTCCACCTCGAAATGCAAAATGTTGCTTCCAGATTGGGTTTCATCGGCACCTGATCTAGTGATAGGGACTGAAGTAGTCGAGTGTGTTGATCACTTCACTTATCTGGGGAGTCTCATCAGTGCTGATGGATTGGTGATTGACGAAATCTCAGCACGGATATAGAAGGCTTTATTGGCTTTTACCAACTTTCGTCACTTATGGCGTAGGCGAGATATCAGTTGGCTGACTAAAGGACGAGTGTACTGTGAAATAGTTCGCTCCGTTCTCCTATATGGATGCGAAACATGGCCGTTAAGAGTAGAAAATGTTCGTAGGTTACTAGTGTTCGATCATAGATGTCTTCGAATCATTGCTCGTATATCGTGGTACACCCGAGTGAGCAACGCTGTTATTAGGAAATGGATGCTAGGTAAGAATGGCTGATCAATAGATGAAGTAATGAAACTTTATCAGTTGAGGTGGTTGGGACATGTGCTGCGTATGCCTAACCACCGACTGCGGTGTAGGAATAGGTCGGACGAAAGCTAGGGGCGGTCAGACCAAAACATGGCACATATGCATGAAGTGACTGACAAGTGGACTGAGTCATGTTGGTAGATGTAGGCTACCTGGTTGGGGTGCGCGAGACGAAAGTCACCAATGGTTAGAGACCTTGAATGACATGGCGCAGAATCGTTTGCAATGGTGCAGGCTTATCCGCTCTTTGTGTTCTCTCAAAGTCTAACATTCTGAGTTCCTCATAATCCCTATCTTTCTCCTTCTAAATTTACCTTACTGAATCTTACTTCTCGAATCATATCTTCGAACCCCATATCTTATCCATTACTGCTAATACTTCTACAATCGCTGTCACTCTTGGATTTGAACTGACAGTTGCGTCTCTGTGCTGATGTGGTATGACAACCTGAACTGACGTACTCACGTACGAAATTCTGCGTTGTATCTGTCTGTCTATCTGTTTGTTTATGCTTCTAAGCAACATAATATTGTTTAGATTGGTAGTTTATCGTTCTGAGAGCTTAGATATTTCCTTTAAAAAATCAGAAGCCGGGGAATTCTACTAACTTTCTAATTGTTAAACATCTATTATGTGAATCATTAAGACTGAAAACTAGTCATTTAATCCTTATGCAATTTGTTATGTCGCAGAGCGAAATATTCAACACCTTTTCGTTTTCTTTCTATGATTTCTACTATTACATTGAATATCAGTATCCGATAGTACATTGTTTCGTTGTTTCTGCTCTTGTCAAAACGTTTGTAAATCTAAAGTAAACGCGATGTTCCATGAAAATGTTTTGAAAAGCATATTAGAATGAGAATTACTATCTATATTACAGTTTGTTGGTTTATCGTTTTATTCAACACTATTCCTCACTAACAAATTATCCTGAAGTCAATAAGTACTAATATGTTACAGAGAAATCATTTGTCTAGTATATATTTATATCATGAGCTACATTTAGACTGACAATATCGTCATCTTGGTTTTTGTGCATCAGTAAACTATTGTAATTATGTGTAACTAACAAGCACATTTCATTCTATTAATAAATTATGTATTTCAAGTAGGTCACATGTTCCAAATATTTTTATTATTTAGGTTTAGACTACTCATATTTTGTTAGTAATATGACATTTTACTTAACATTATTGCATAAAATGCTACAATCACACGAAATTCACAGTATCAAAAGCATGACAAATACTTTGAAGGATTCCTAATAGCTAAATTTGAGCTTAATTTACTTGTTATGCATTTTACTGCTACCTACGGAAAGGTAGTTTCAACATTTGCTTATATTATGTAACGGAATGCAGTGTTTTACTTTTGTTGTGATCATGAACTGACGACCACGGAAAAGGAGAGTACTCGGTGGCCATTCCGTTCTTTCAGAGGACTACTCATTATAATGCATCTGCGAGCTCAATGAGGTAGTTACACGAAAATTCTCAGATTTCAACGGCAAAGATTAACCGTTAGACTTTTGAGCCAGATTGTGTTTTTGATTTTAAACTATGCATAAGAAACATTAGTAAAAAAATAAATACGCTAAACGAAGCAACTAGCAACTGTGAAAACCATATGCTTAATAAAAATAATGCACCCGAAATCTCACCTGTTAACTTCTGAATTATGTGGTTAACTGTTACATTTAAAACTGCCTATTTCAAATATAAAAAGGTGACTGCTTATGTAAGTATTTTTAATAATTAGTTCGAACCATTTAATATTGAATGGTTTTCATGCCATTTATCTTTTAAAGTGAATTTTCTCATAATTTAATATCCAAACTAAGCCTAAACTCAGAATAGACCATAATAAAGTTGGATATATGATACTGTGATCTATTAACTTTCAATGTAATGTCAAACTATATTTCGACCTTCATAAGAATGTTGCGCATAAAACTTTTTAAAGAATATTAACAAATATTCAAGATACTTTAGCTTAATTGAATTCATGAATCGATTGGTGTTAGACCATCATTAGAAACCTGAAAGCACCGGACGGAGGTTTCGTCTCGGTATGATAGATTCGCGATTTCGATGAGACTGAACAACTATAAAAATGTGACGACTAGTGACTAGTTTAGTGAGGAAGTTTCCGGTGTTCTAGTAAGAAGGCTTGACCAGTAGAGCTCAACGCTCCCGAGTGTGAGACAGTTTCCAACCGAAGACTATGGATCGGTTCCTGGGTACGGGGGTCATGGATACTCATTGTTGATGAGTTTCATGTTAGGACGAAACGTCCATCCAGTGCTTCCAGGTTTCAAATGGTGGCCTGACAATGATCGATTCATAATTTTAATAAAGCTGAACGATCTTCACAACCCTATCCTTCTTCGACTCAGGGTTACTTGTATTACTTCCAGAAAGTGAAATGAGTTCAAGTGTATTTTTATTTAGAATATAATTATCAATCATACAAATAGTAAGATTACGTGGACTAAACTTCTAGTAAAAAGAGTGTTATTAAAAAAATACATAGGAAAAAAAGTCTACATTGATAAAGCTTGATCGAATGAAAATAAAAAGTCATTTTTAAAACTATGAATGACATCTAATTCATCTTAAAGCAGTGAAATATCTAAAGCTTCATGGTTTTAATGGCGAAAGTATAGTGTATCCTCCACAAAAATATAAGATTAAATACTTTTCACCGTAAAGATGGATATAATTATAATAGTAGTATGAAGACAGTTGTGTCTTTTATATCGATTTCTGGTTGAAGCAATCAAACAGCCTTGATTAAATTACGTTTCCGTTATCTGTTAAATAAATAAATCATAAAAAATGAGAATTCAATGTTTTAATAATTTATAAAAATGTAAGATACTATTTAAATAATATTAGTAGTAAAAATGAATTCATAAAATAATTTATCAGTGTCTCTTGAGTATTGCAATCTTGTCTTCATTTAAATAGTACCATATTTTTATCATTGGAAAGAAAAATAAAGATAATGATAGGTAAATAATGAAATTGAAGGCTAACACTATTAAATGGTTGAAAATAATTGAAATTATTTAACTTACTTTTTGAGAGTTTAATAAATTCGCCAATTTAATCGCTTCTGGACGTGGTGGAACAGACATCACGAAAGGTATAACATGATCGAATGATCCAAAAGTATGCGTTTTATCGGTTTCAGATGCCTCTAATAAATCTTTAACCGTGAAAAAACAGTTAACTTTCATACATCAAAGTTAAAATGATCATGTTCAAAGACAAATTATTAGATGAGTGATTTCAAAAGTAACAAAAAGTCACAATAAACATTTAAACAAAGTAGTGCTTCGCATAAACTAACACAATGATGCGAAAACAGAACAACAAACAGTTTTTTTGTCCTACTTGAGAACCCCTTAACAACGTAACCAAAGTGGCGAACAAATAAATTCAACGTTTTATGAGGACTTACGTTTAAAAAAGTTTTCTTTGAAATATTCCTTGATAAACGATAAGATTTTTGAAGTACTGAGGTTTAATATTATATCATAAAGAATCAAATATCTAGCAAAATACTGACGTTAGTGATCTTAGAGAGACTCTTCTTGAGTTCTAATTTATGTATAGTTTATACATAGTTAATAGAATTCCAAATAAAACCAAGATAGTTAGCTTGTTTTATATGAAAGTACTTATAATAATACTTACCGCCTTCATTTTCGATAGTCACTTCATTCTTTGAGTTCCTAATTTAACAGATATCAATTTCAAATGAATTTGTAACATACTTCTCATTGGTCTTGATTTCATTAAGTGGCTGATTTGTAATACCACCTAATTTTTAATTGATTAAAAGATTTTCATAACAATATATTTACTTTGTTCATTTGGTAATAGAACTTGTGTTTCAGACTGAGGTGCAATAGATTCATTTACTGTGCTTACACTGGCACTCATTGGTTTTTCTAAACTTATTTCTGTAACAGTTGAAAGTCGAGCTTCTTTAGGAAAAAAGATCATTCAAACAACAAAACGATCTTTACCTGTGAAATTTGAATCTGAAACTGTCCCGACACTTGAAAGTAAAGAAAGGGAAAAGTTAAGTATTCGTGTAAACAAAAGGAATTATCAATAATCGTTAAAATCAGTATAATGTTCTGTTTTTAAATTCCTGAGCTTAAAATTTGTCAATATTTATGTTTTAGTGAATCCAAATTGCCATTCTGTTTCATCGATTAGTTTCTTACTTCATATATAAACTGAACGCTTAGGAGGCTTTGCCTAGCATGGCCCAGAATAATGGCTTGTGTTCATGGTCGCAAGGTCGTGGATACGGTTTCGCGACTCTGGGGGATTAGGACCGAATCTGTTTAAGTCTGAATCCCGTCCATTGAGCGTAGGTAACTTTGAAATAATGGGATATAGCTTTCCAGCTTTCTTGAAGGCGGCCTGTTAGGTTCGTCACTAGGTACGCTTGAAGCTATTACGGGTTCACCTTAGTCGATAAACGCGAACGAGACGATAAACCAGCGTCCAGGTAGGCTACCTTGATCCGAAAACGGGAAAAGAGAAGTCTTGATAAGCGTAGAAAGTATATTCTACAAACACCCAGCAAGCACAATACAATCAAGCATACAATCCCGTTTATCTACACATCATAGAAATGTCCTTCGGACAGTCACAAAAATAGCACACTAAAATACACAGTAGCCAATTACAGCCAAAAATTTTCCTAGTTAGAAATGAAATATCAAGGTCAACTGATCAGCTCATGCTGGCAAAACGCGAAATCCAAAATAAGGCATTTATCAAGCGAGTCCCCAACACGGCCGTAGACGATTTGTTTGGGGAAGCAGCCGTAAACATCCTGGACTATTGACGCTGACTCTATATGGTTGTCCTAAACACTCTGCATCTTTATGTAGTGTGCCAATTGGCGTCGAGGCCCATTAAACAAGGGTCTCCAGTTATGCTATGTGATCCAGTGCTGAAAGGGTACTGTACGCCAATGATGTCTGCCCACCTATGTAGTGCGATTAACCCTGCTTGGCTGAGTGCTTGCGCTTGGTCGAGTTCATGACATCTACCCCATGGGAGGGTGTACGTTCCGGTTGACCTTGTGGAAGAAACTCGATCTTTAGCTTCATGTGGAGTTTTGGGGCTCCGATCGATTGTTTCAGCGCAAGGCGGTCGGAGGCCAGACGGTTGAAACGGCTGCTGGTTAGTGCACTGCTGGGTGGTTCGGTAATCCGTTTCGGGGTGTCAAGTCTAGCTGGGAAACCCGCCTTGCCGATCGGGCATTGTGGGTAGTGGATTGGTTAGAGGGATCAAGTGGATTTATAAGTTCCCGAACGGGGGGCACTGTTTATGTGCGTGCTTTTTGTACGTCCACTTGTCTGCAGATCAGTCAAGACAACATGTGCGTTCCCGTATGGGTCAGGGGTGATCGTAAAATTAGCATTTGTCAGAATCCTTGTACTGCCTAAAAAGCAGCGGCGTACCTATGCAGCAGGCTTGTTGGTTAACCAAGAATAAACTGTTTAAATTATCAGTCAACTTTTTACATGCGTAACTGATCAGTATACTCGTTTTTATCCTTGCAAATTAGGAATGTCATGTAGATCGATTGAATCTACTGATAATGTCCACTGTGTTTAAAAATATACCTTAGTATAATGTATCAGTTGTTATTCAGAAATTTATCTTCAGATCAGTGTAGTGATTTCGATTTTGATGACATTATTAAGATGTATATATGATTAAGAGTGAGTGTTATGAGTAACAAATTGTAGAATAAAGCACATATTCACAAATAACCTTCGTGTTAAATGGGACTGAAGTGAATAGTGCTTTCATAAAATACAGTTTTGTTCAATGTATTCTCACGATAAAAATCTTTGTACTTATTCAATCAAACTTAAAGACCTTGAAATGAATCTATACAAATGTTAGGGCAGTAAAAGGCTTATTTTACCTTACTGATTTATTTTTAAGTGATCGTTCAGATTTGTTTGTTTTTGACTTTGAAGATTCTGGAGTGTCGGTCTGTATTTGTGAGTCTTTCTTTATCTTAAATTCTTCCTATAAAATGATCAGCATTAAAAATGAACTAGAATAAATCTCACCAAATACTGACATTATTATAAAGACTATTGCCATTACCATTGATCACTAATCACTAAAATAACTAAATATCTATTTAATGAAAATAAGAAATGATTAGATCGTGAATAAAAATAACATCAAAGTCTTGTAATGCAACACAACTATGGTTCAGAGTGGTGGGTCTAGTAGATTTGACGTACGTGTAGAGCAATAGTCACCTAAACAGAATAAATGTGCCTCTGCTACAGTCAGTCCATTCCACTCCAGCTATGTCCAACAGGTAAAAACGAATCCCTATTCCCCTTGGTGGCACTGTGATGCATGGTATAATGTACGAGGCTACCCATTTAAGCAAGATTGACGCACGAAGTGTTAGGCCGTGGGTCATGAAGATCGTTTTTGTCCAAAAAGGAAGCCAACCCTTTCCAGAAATACCAAAAAGACTGTTCCTAGATCCTGTTCTAATTCGCTCAGCCTAGTATCTGCTTGTCAACACTCATCACCAGGTGAGAGGAAATTCATTAGCCTTAATATTACTGGGCATTCCTCTAGATTGCAAATAGATGCGGCATCAAACGTCATCATTCTCTAAAGTAAAATATGGACCGAATTGGGCGGCCCAAGCCTGCAGCGTATAACACAAAAACCTCGTATTGCCTATAGTAGTTACCTTCGCCTGTTAGGACAACTGGAATATAAAGTTACTTACCAAGATTCGTCGTTTACTGTGGTATGTTATATAACGCCAGCTGGTCTAAATTTACTTGGTTTAGATTGGTTCGATCAGCTAAAATTGGCTGATGTCCCATTAAATACTATATGCTACCTAGTATCACAACCACTTGACCCTGAAGCAAATACGAGGAAGATAATGATGCAGGTCTCAACTATTTTCCAACCTGGATTGAGCCGTTGTTCTGCCATGAAGAAACGCTTTGGTCCAAAGAGACCTGTGACTTATACGACATTACCAACAGTAGATGAAGTATTGAATGGTCTTCAACAACAAGGAGTTATTTCGCCCATTTCTTACTCTGCGTGGGCAGCACCTATAATTGTTATCAAGAAGACCGACGGCACGGTACGTATATGTACTGACTTTTCTACAGATCTCAACGCAGCTCTGGGACAGCTACATTATCTTCTGCCAGTTCTCGCAGATCTGTTCAATATACTGAATGATGGAAAGTTTATCGCAAAACTGGAAGTAGCTGAAGAATCAAGAGAGTTTCTTACTATCAATACTCATCGTGGTTTTTTTTCAATTTAATAGTCTGCCTTTTGGAGTCAAGACTGACCCACCCATTTTCCAGCAACTAATGGATACCATCCTATCATGTATCTCAGGGATCGCGGCTTATTTAGATGACACTTTAATTATTGCGACGACATTAGAACAGCTACAGGGATGCACGACATTGGGGAAGGGACGATCGGATTAGAGTAGCCTATCGCATCACTGAATAATTGATCTTCGTTCCGTTAACCATGTAAGGTGAACTCGTAATAGTTCAGGTATATCAATAATACAATTAGATTAGAAGATCGATATAAAATATCAGCAAAGGTTGATTGTGATTCATCGATTAGAAAGACATTACTTAGCAGTTTGATAAAAGTTAGTCGAATACTTTGTTGAGTACTTACAGATGTTTAACACAAATTATTTAGACATAAACATGACATGTGTTAGGATTCGGTAATATGACATAACTAAAATCTTTCAAAGGTTGATGGATCTGAAAGTTGTTTAACAAAGATTGTAGAAAATTAAAATAGAAAGTTTAGCAAAATTGAAGTACTATGACCTGATTGGGAAAAATGTAAGGAAATGCACAAGCTTTAAAATTAAATAATATTTGGTCACTTTAAGTGAAGTGAATTCCATTTTCAATCGTAAAACGTGTGTTATTAAGAGTAAATTAAAGAAAACTTACTTGTGACTTTTCTTTTTTATAAAATATTTGTTTAGACTCGCTAATTATTGGCTTTGGTAACCATTTATCCATTGCACTGGCTTGTAGTATAAATGTGTACACAAAAATGAAAGACCAACAAATCAAGAATATTCCAAGAAAACAAATGACAACTGTTCCAATTATCCATAGGAAATCATCTTCTTTTTCATAAGCGCCTAAATCGTAAACTGACATAATGGAAAATAATCAATTAGCAGTTATATAATGTTATAAATATCACTGTAATCTAATCCCAAGAAAGCATAAAACAATAAACACTTTCATCACAGTAAAAGTCAGCATTTGAAAAGTCACTTGATTATATAAATGACTGAGTATACAGATGATAAATCACCGAATTCTGAAACCAACTGATGTTTAAGCGTACTTTTGCATTCAGAATTACTTAACTTATTTTCATCCTGTTTTTGCACAGATTCTGATCGTTTCTGAAATTTTCATGGTTCTGAATAAAATCATCAACTTGTTCATGCAAAGTGACCATGATTACATGTTTTTTAGATACACTAACTGGATAGGATTGTCAGCTGTTAACATTCTTTCGTATTGTTTCAACAACTGTGTTTTTATTTCACCATTTTGCTTACTGTCTATCAGGATTATTTTCGATATGAACCTGTTTTCGTTCCGGAGAACAAATAAACTTAGCTAATTTCGTTAACCTTTTGCCAAAAAACAATGATTAGTTATTGCAATATTCATCGCAGTGAATTCAAGCTAGACAACAAGATCGGAAGAGTAGAATAAAATGCTTTGTGATATATGCGGTAGCAATAAATTATTTAAGTTTAAAATTTATGTAGGCCTTTGTCAAAAATAAATCAGCTCGTCTTAGTAATATCTGCATCTGTAGTGTTTCATACCATGTAATGTCTATATAGATTATTTTAGGTTTCGAACAAACCAATGAACCTGTTCTTCTTAAGTCATTATCCATGCATACTTTTACCTTCTTAGTTGCTTGTTTATTTTTATTAGAGTGCACATGCATCCCTAGTTCATTTAGACATATTTCCTCAATTCATTTTTGTGTGGTTATAAATTATGAGGGAAGCTTAATCAAATACGGTGGGCACACTTTCATTCTTCTCACCACTTCGGCTTCCGGCTTTTCGTTTGAATGTTTGAGTAAATAATTTCATTCGGTAAGTACACTCGAGTGAATTGGAGTCTAGTTTCTTAGTATCACCGTGATACACGCTGGTTGATCTTAGTGTTATATGAGGAATTAAATAGAAGGTTTATTTTCACAACATATTCAATATTTTGTTCAAATCTTGAGTAAGATATCAGGCCATTTAGCAGCTGATAAGTACCTTAGAAAAAAGAGCCTCTCAGACTGTGAATTTCCTGCCAAATGACTTAATTTTTAAAGTCAGTTGTTCTTATCACTTCTAGATTGACCAATTTTGAGGAAAAAAGCACATACTTCAGCAGTTATGGTCTGTTAAAGACAAATGATTATAAAAGTCGGTCGTGGAGTCTTTGCAATAAATAATTGTAAATAGTAAACTAGACAAAAGTCACCTTTCGGTTTTTCTATGATCGGCATTCCAAGATAAACTGCCAGCCAGTCTCCTGGTATTTGATTGAGCTGGTACACAATAGATGGAGAAGGTTGGAAGAAGTTATTTTGGTGCACATAGAAAAACAGTTTCAAATACGATTGGGTTCTGTCTCTTTCGATAAGATCAACCTTTCAAAAATCAAAAGCAATGGACAAAAAAGAGTAAAATTAATCATTAAGCATGTGTATTGCTAAAATAAAGTCATTTTACATTACCAGATACGTAAACGTACTTTTTTACTCAAGTATACAAAGAACATGAAGTCATAAAGTTGAAAACTAAAGTAGAAACCGTACATGTCACATGATATTATTAATGACACCTCGCTGTTTTCACATAGATTCGGTAAAACTTTAGGGTAATTTCTTTTAGAAAACATCTTGTAATAACTATCGTACATTTGCTCAAAATGTAAGTTTATTCAAGTAAAGGTATTTTAAAAATAGTATTTTTAGACTTGGTTCACAGAGGCTACAGTACATGCAAGTTTGAGAATATAACATCAGAAACTGTATAAAGAAGTAAACACAGCAGTGAATTGAAAGTATTCGGTTTCGTAAAAGCCTAGAATATTTAAAAATCAAACTTACCACAACAGAGTTGTTCGCAGCGGCAGGAAAAGTTGAAAGCTTTGGATAAGATGTTTCGGCTTTTTTAAGAACTTCAAAAATTTTTGATTCCCATAATGTTTTGTTCAGCAGAGACTCTTCTGTGTGCGTGGGTTGGGTAGATAGAACTACAAACGTTAGTTATAAAATTAAGTACCTAAAATAGTCCAGAAAACAGATAAACGAGAAGGCTCAACTGAATAAAACAGTAACAGACCAAACACAACTACACATACTGATGTCATCTTATTCAGATTTCCTCGTTATTTGTAGCAACAAATTGAGAGATAAAAACAATAATGTAAACAAAGTTTTTACACAAACTAGTGACAAGATTTAAAAACAAAAAATAATTTGTAGGAACTTTATCAAACTACTCATATTTGAAAATTTTTGAATGACAAACTATACCTTCATGCAAGACCACCTTCAAAGCTTCAGGCTATCGTGGTCTGTACATTGGGTTGTTGTAAACCATTCATACTACAGCCGTCAAGATTCTAGGTCCTAGCAGCCATAAAACAAACAGGCAAGAGTTCCCTTGATGGCAGTGTGAAAGACTAGAAACTAATTCAATAGTTAATAGGAAACTAATGTTTCAAGAACTAAACAAGTATGTCAGCTGGTTGATTATGCTGATGATGTGAGGAGGTCGAAGTGTGGTGATAGGTGAGATATGCATATGCTAATGATATTTAATCGGGATGACGGGAGATAAATCAGGCGATTGCAATCCGTGTCTGAGTAGGTAACGTAGGCTGTCACAAACCGATAAATTTTAGGTCACCTTTTTATGGACTTCCAGATCACTTCTTCGTCTACGTCAAATGATGACTCCAAACTTGTTTTTTATCGCAAATTTTTAATAAAAATTTGGTTAAGGCACTGACTTTAGACGATCCACCAGGAAAATCGTGATTTTGAGGTCACTCACCCCGCATGCCTTGCATATAACTTTGTTTAAAACATCCTGTTCTTTAGATAGTTTTGGAGTCAACATAGAAGTGAATCTGTTAAGCCTATCTTTACAACCTCCACTATTAAGAGTATTAATGCTACCGTGTTGAGAGCTTGGGCACAGTCAAGCAATATTACAGTTCCAGTCATCAGGTTATCCCATGCTATAAATGAATAGAAGCACAATACCTGCTGTTGCTAAACCAGTGTTAGGTCTCATAAAGAATGATGTTTTATCTATTTCCTTTCGTGTTCACTATAGCATATTTTCATTATTCCGGAAGCTGTTATGACTCCAGTGAATAATTTAAAAAGTCGCATGCCGGCCAACTGAGAGTCTTCGTATATTGCTTCAGGATTATGATGCCGATGCTATCACATTACAGTAAATTTCCTAGGTGCATAGATTTTGGCTACCTTCCTACTAACCTGGAAGTAGGTCTGAAATTTTTTGGCTGGAACTGGAGCTAAACGATGCGCTGAGCTTGACTGGTTGGTAAAGTCTTAGCAAGACACCTAACGTTGATTCAACACGATGAGGCCTAATTTGTAATATATGACTTAACGGTAGTCCCCTTCAGTTTGACAGGACGATACTAAACCTACCTAGTTTCCTTTCCACTTATTACTTGGTGACAAAACAAACAATACTTGACGGATGTCTCATCACTTAATCTTTCACAATAACCATAAAAAATGACCATAACCCTCATGTCTCCCGACCACTAATCCGACATTTAATCAAACCTAAAACCTTTGTTATTTGTGGATATCTCCATTACTTTATACCTGCAGTTAGGAGTTTAGGACTTGGACTCATCAGAGTTACTACGTGAGAAATTTCAATCTTATTATCAAATGCAACAAAGATTTTAACGTCATTATTATTTTGACTCGGCATACAGGCAACCAAATTCCACAGTCCGTTCACTGAACCAACCTTACCAAGTGACCTGAAAGCTCGTCGAAGATACATCAAAACTGCAGAACCATACCTCCTCCAATAGACAGGATGTTGAACAAATTTATGATATTATCAGCATTTTCTTGGATCTATTAATGTGTGGGACGAAGAGAAGTGGAATCAGATCGCTACAATTCACCCGACCATAAAGCAAACAATTCACAGAAAGACTAATTCTAGCGGAGACAAAATGTATTTATCGAACAGCAACATTAAAATGGGGAAGTTGTCAAGGGCATAATCATAGTTAAGCAAATCGAAGTTTGAACTTCAGCATGGATAATTTTGAAGCACATCTAAAATTTTGTTCGTGACATATTCCATGCTGGCTTGTACTCCAACCTTCGTGACCGAATTCGCTTCATGACAACGATCAATGTTTACCTTTCTGATAGAATGGAATATGATTGATCTCTCAGGGTTAGTAATAGTATCAATAAACGATGAACTTCTACTAGGATGTTGAACTGCAGTCAAATGTATTTAAATAAGCAAACCCCGTGAAATAAACCCACTATGTATGGGGGTACATTCCGTGCGTTAGTCACCAAACTTCAAATTTGTTTGAACGAACGGCGTAAAAATACTTGTATTTGTTTTTTAGTTAAATTCTTCTTGTATGTGTCAACAGGTAGAAACCGAACTTTCTTTCCGACGGTTTGCAGACGGTGCATATCCAGTTAACTTCATGAGTGATAGCATACTAGATTACGAGCAGCCACAGAGCTCATATCAGAACGCTTCATCTGACCTCATATGAACTCAGATATATATAAAGCATTCGTAGCTAATTTAGACGGCTTAGGATCAAAGTGCTTCGTAAATTGCCATTATCCGTTAAACGTTTCCAACACGTCCGTTTGAACATCCTCAGCTCCCTTACCATCCAAATCCTTAACATACATTTTTAGCACGGTACACTTGTTTAGCAGAAGGGCCATTGCGTGTCCTATAAGAGATACATCGGCTTCGTTTACAGCCTAGGATTTCCTCGACCATCGAAGTGCAAACTATGGTGATCCGCCAACCTTCACTACGGATCGTGGTTCGTAATTTCAGTCTTTTCATCCGTTCAACGGAATCTTCGGATAGAATTGTATTGAAACCATGGCCACCCACACGGCAGTCAATGGTTTGGTCAATGGTTTCCGCAGTCGAATAAAAAGTAAGCTAATGTCTCAGGCTGACACGACACTACAAAGTGAACTGTTACACCTTTTCCTCTTTTGAGTTCGCCCAACCATCACAGAAGTCTTCAGCCGTACATCGGCAGATTCGGTGTACATCACAACCTTGTTTTGTCCTGGACAACTGGTAGCCCCCAAATATCAAAAACCGATTGATCCAACTTGTATAGCTAGTTGTTTATTACAATTTATACAGCAGATTAGGCTTGTATCTCTGCGTAAAAATGCTAGTCAGAAACAAAGTGATGGACGTTTGAAGAAGTGCGAGTTCATCCTGCTCATGCTGACAGTGATAAAACCATAAGAGCGACCCTATGCAGGGTCTTACCAAGTCAGTAAACAAATGATTAAACACCCACTTGTCAAAAAAGAATGGAAATACTAATAATGATAAATTTATTCTCGAATAACTACGTTACAAGAGTCACGACAGTTTACAGGCTGTATCAAATCGTCACAAATGCTTTCACAAATACTGTAAAAGTTATAGCAGTTAAATTAAGTATAAGAGTCAGTTTCTGATAGCATATCTACACAGTGTCACTGACAGAAACAGTATAATACAGCCACATTTTCAATAGTAGAGTACAAATAAGGAAGAGGCACGATAGGTTCTTTTGGAGATTTGCCGAGATCAATAGTGAATTTGTTGGTAAAGGTCAATTGGAACGCGCTTGATACGAGCTGTGATCCAGACAGTCATGTACATGGGGTGCATGTTCCCTAGGATCACCAAGGATTTCCCACCGTGAATGGGGTTCTGAAAAGGAGAAAAGAGAGAGAGAAAAAGGCAGCAGTGTGACAAGTATATATATATAACCAAAGCACTACATAACCTGTCATGTTGAAGTAGTCAATACAGTAGTAAGTCAAGATAAAATTCATACTGACCACTTAGATTTAAGTAAATTATGGGAATACAAGAATATAACCCACAGATAAAGGAGTACAGCAAAAAAATGAAGAGCTGTGCATTGTCAGATGGATAGAAGAGAAGTCGAATTAAGAAGCTGGATTTATGTACGTTGAAATCGAATGAGTAGAGTTAGTAAAAAGAAAAGATTGACGATTAAAAGTTCTCACTGTCTAACTGTTTTTTTAATTATTATTATTGAATGTCAACCTCTAAGTCATAGTGTAAGCGCCTGAGTAAGAATGTTGTGGGTGTCTCTACAGAATAGCAACCTCAGCATAGTTTTGGAAACATGAACCTCAAAAGTAGCAAGCGTATAAGAGCTACCTCAGCGTTACTGATTAGTCGTCTCATCAATCTAAAGAGCCGAAAGCAAACAAAATTTTCTGCCCCACAAACATAGGTGGTTTAAAGTCATCGCCGACACCATCAATGTTTGCTGGTCAGAGACCACATCGGTAGATAAAGTAAAACGCGCCCTTGTGAAGGACGAGAACGTAAAGGAGAATGCCATTACATACAAACCGGCTCGACTCCCTGTTACAACGAACTCACAAAGAAGAGAAAAACCAACCAATGGTTACACGTTCTCCACATGTTCTGGCACAGCAATGAATTGTGGCTTATACTTACTCTTGATCTTCCGTCATCGTTTCGTTAACCAGTTGCCAATATTAACATTTTGACCTTGCCTTTAAATTGGCATGCCTCTTGTAACATGTTTGTTACTTGAGAACAAATTATTATTATTGTTATTATTATTAGTCTTTATAGCTGTGGATTGCAAGATCAAAAACCTGGAACTACCACGGCTTATCAGGTAGCCCTTAAAAAACTGCACATCAGAGAGCGAACACCTGTCCACATTTTGTGATTATGAATTGTAATTTTTCCCATCTTCACACTCTTGAAACCCCTCCTGGAGGCCCTCTAAAGTTACTTTCAGTCTCAAGCGTGGATAAATGAAGAGGTGTGATTGTGGGTTTTGGTGAACTCATCAAACGGAAAATCAACTCGCCAAAAACCGCTAACCAGAAAAATAATTCTAACCATTAGAACTCTGGCCTGGCAGTTGGAAGGCATTTTTTAGAAGATGTACGACTCCTCC